AGAAGCCTGTCAGTTAAACATATATGTTTTTGCAGAGTTTACAGTATAACACCATAAACCTGAGCCAGAGGACAGTATTCAGCACAGTTTGAACCAGACAGGGTTCTCACAGGATGAATGCATTTTCAGTGACTGATTTTGATTTTGCTAATTTTTCCTTCTTCATCCTTTTAAGCCTTGAACATAAACTGAAAGATGGACAACGTGACTGCTCCCCAAAAGTAAAAGACAAAGCACCCCCTGGGGGTTGGCTGCAGTGGAGGTCATAACCCAGACAAACCAACAAAAGTTACATGGTTAGTGTGCAGTCTGCTGTACCTCCAGAGCCGCCCTACAATCTGTATATAACTACCAAAATTGAACTAAATGATGATTAGAGCTTAAAAATCTTATTATAAATCAGTTTCTTTCATGCTCACACTATGCAAAGTGCATGTGGCCGGCTATGACTCAGGAGGTAGAGCAGGTTGTTCACCAGTCTATCTGCATGTTGGATTTAGTATCCTTGGCTAAAATAAATAACCCAGAGTCTGATGTTCTATGGACAATATGAAGATCTGCTGGTTGTATGACAAAGAGAGAAAATAAAATTTTCTGTGTTTCTGATCAGTGATATCATTATAATATGTGCTTTTTTTGGTGCATCACTAGAATCATTTATATGAACATTCAATTTTACTCATATGGTCGAGATCTTTCAATATCAGAGAGAAACCACAGTTCCCAAAGTGAGTAAGCACTTGGCAAAAGTGAAAAAAAAAACTTTTAAGAGGACATGACTTTATCAGAAACAAACTCAAGGTGGGTTTGTTATTCCTTGAGCTGTGGGGTTAAAATGAGAGAAAGACTAGAGGAGGAGGGGCAGGAACAGTTGTATAACTTTTGTATTTACACACTGTTTAACAGGGTGTTATAATTAACAATAGTAGTAATAATATTATAAACTCAGATATACTATGACACCACAGACATTTAGCTGTTTACACAACCTTGCATTGATAGTCATGAGTTGTTGACTTGTTTAAGTGTTTTTGATTTGGGAAAAGGATTTCCTGTGATGAAGTTATTGCTTACACATTGCAAAGAACCTAGTGTGAAGTCAACCTCTATGGATGGAGTCCAATAAGAAAATAATTGCTCACCAAATGGCACAGTACTCCAAAATTAAAATGACAATAGGCAAAAAAAGAAGCCTGATGAAAATTGGCAGCACATACTTCAGACTGAAGAAGGCTAAATAAAATTGTGTGGATCAGATGGGATGCAGCATTTTTGGCTTGAAGCTGGTCAGGTGGGAGTGTGCCATGACACTGCATGAGTGCAAAAAGGTGTAATGGAAATGACAAGAGATGAAATGTGTTCACCTAAATAGTGAATGAAAAATGACTCCCAGTTTCAATAAACTTGGCATGAGATGGATTGTTCAGCATGAAAATGACCCAAAAGACACTGCAGAATTCCCACAAAAATAAAATAGTATATCCTATGACCTGCACAAGCCTGTTACTTGACTTGAATCCAATAGAAAACCTTTTTTTCCAATTGTATTTTAAAGTAGAGGTAGAGCAACAAAACCCCTCCAGCAGGGAGTAGCTGAAAAGAACCATCTGTGAAGATTGGCAGGACCTCTCTCCACAGATTTGTGCAAGAGTTGTATCATCCATGCCTGTGAGAATGAATCAAAGCTGTCATCAAAAATAAAAGTAGACATACAAAATATTTCAAAAGTAAACTAGAATTACCACCTTACGGTTGTGTTCCTCCGCTAGCCAGTCAAGCTGTAGTTTACATCCATGTCTGTCCAGATGCATACTGCATTTAATATATGTAGTGAAGACTGTCAACAAATTTAATACAAATATTAAGTGTATTTTGTCAGACTAAGTATCAATTCTTGAGTTATAGCCAAAAATATGTGGTGTGAGCTCACGGTGACATTTGACCACCAAATTCTAAATCAGGTGATCCATGAGTCTGAGTAAATGTGTTTGCCAGATGTAAGGAAGATCCCTTCAGGCATTCCTGATAGATCATGTTCAAAAAAGGTGAGGTCACATTGAACTTGACCCGTGACATTTGACCATCTACTCAGTTTATCTTTGAGTCCAAATGAAGATTTCTTTTTTTTCAAATTACTTCTAGTCTTAGTCTTTATTCTTATAACATTTTGGATAAAAACAAGTAATATTGTATTAAATGGACAAAATTCTGCTTTGTTGTATACTGCTGATAGCCATGTGAGGTAAGCTTTGCTAGAATTATCCATCTCTACATTGTCTGATTGAGCCGATAACACAGCCCAGAACACGACTGTGCCATGGGCCTTTGCCTTCAACCTCAAAATATATGACATCAAAACTCTTGAAATTATCAAATTAAAATGAGAGTATGACGGTACTTTAGGACGCATTATCAAAGACTAGTGTAAAAGTGAAAAAGATTTTTGGCACAATTCTCCAAAATCATGTGAAATTAACAAATTAGCTTATTCGACTCATTCCCTTTTGATCTGATTGATCGCCGGTTGCCATTAAGTATTCTCATTCCTATTAACCACTGCTGAATGGGCTGAGTCGTTTATTCCCCGTGCTTGACTGCTTAACCGAAATAAACCTTGGGATAATTGCTATAGGAGTGTATGGGGGTGGCAAATTGAGGTTGTGCTGTGCCCTACAGCCTATTTATAGATGTTCAGCCAACTGCTTTATGAAATAAAGTGAGAGAGTCAGCTTTGCAGTTGTGTGCGTACTAATATGTGGATACGGGTGAGTTTGGGTGGGATCCTGATTATGTGAGGGTGTAAAAAGGTGTGTGTGTGAGACTGTGAATGGACACAATGAAACTTTGCACACATGTGCATATATGTTATTGTTCAATAGTGTCTATTTGTGTTTGTGATCGTGTCCTGACTTGTGTGTTGTGTATATTGCACGGGCAACACAAGGTCACAGTATCTCTCAAAGGCAAAAGAAGACTTCACAGCCTTTGTTCTTCCGCAGGCTGTAAGGGACTGTCATCCTTTTAATGCACATTCTCCACATGTATCCTGAGAAGACCTTATTAGATGCTTCACGACTGGTGAAAGATTTGTATCTTGTCCAAAATTTCACCTGTTTACATCAACCCATAAAAGCATCTGTTTGTGTGAGTGAGGATCACACAGGTGTGTTTGGGATTTCACAAATCAATGTCATTTTACAGTTTTTGAAGACCAGTCTGAGGCTAATCTCAAAGCATCAGAAAGTCAAAGGCAAAGCATAAAGGTGAAATTACATTGTAAACACTCAATAGTTTGAGCTAGAATTAATTTCTTTGCAAAGTTACTTTAACTGCAAAGTTGTGCTGTATGAACACTCCTATACAACTTCTTTTTTAAAATAAAATCCATTTAAGATGTCACCCCGCTACAGTAACTAGTAGCTACAGTTGACATGACTGGACTTTGACTTGAACGTCTTGACTCTGCGTGGTTGGGAGCATTATGTAACCAAAGAAGTAGGTGATCTGTCTCTGCTGTACACAAAAGACATGTTCTAGTTTCTCTGTGTGACCCCCATGTGGCTGTGATGACAACCACCCACTCACACTTCACTTTTAGCTGAACTCCCCCTGACACACAAGCACAAAGTAAACTCAACACTGCCTGTACTTACACACACGCACATTCTTCTTCCCGTACAAATTCCCTAACCTGAACTGTAAACTTCACCGCTGGCATTATCCTATAATCGTACTAAAAATATGCCTCATGACTTATCTCAAGGACAGAGATAATTGTATTTACTCACTCAAGTGTTATTTATTTAAAAGCACTTTTGAAATGCACATGCTTTATGTCAGTCCTTGTCATTTTATGCTGACACGGCTGCTTTTACTTTAATCGTAGTGCAGTAATGTCAGATAGTTTCATGGGCAGGAGCACACCTGAATGTGTGTGGGATTGGTCATAAAAAAATAGGGGGATGTGTAAGACTACTGACTAGGGATGTCATGATATGAAATTTTGGTGCCACGACTGACTGACGAAATATCATGGCTTCACGGTTTTCACGATTATCTATAGTATAGAAAAAAAAGACTTACAACAATCAATATATACACACAAATTATGTGACTCGCGAGAGGCAGGACACCATAGTTAGATATCATAGTTTTTACAATTCTAATGGTTATGAAATTGTGACGTTGTCAAACCGCGGTTATTGTAAAACCGGTTAATCCTGACATCCCTACTGATGACAATCACGAACATACACATTTCTCTCTCCATCCTTCCCTTCTGCGATGCCATAGAAAGAGTGCATAGTTTCCCATGTTGGTGAAACATACAACCGTGTCTAGCCTTTTCTATGTATCATTGAGCATTAGATATAGCGTCCCGGGTTCTTAAACAAAACACACATCTTACCTCCCCTTACGATACCCTTTAATACTGATGTCTTGCCTTAATGTGAGTCCTCAAATGCAGTTGAAACTTTTTTCTTTCCACCTAATCGCACTGACACAGACAAACTGACCCGTGACAGGTGCTGATCTACGCTATGGCAACTACTTTCAGACCACTTAACAATTTGTCTTTGAAATATAAGCACAATGCACAAAACAATAAAACAGTGAGAGTGTATTGTAGAACTGTTTGAGGAGGACTTACTGCTGACACAGAATAATTCTGAAGTAGGCACTGCACTAATGAAAATGAAACTTACCTAAGTACCCTTTAATCTTTTGTCGGAATGTTCTTATGGCAAACTTAAACCACAAGTCACAAAATCTTCAACCTTGACTGGATTTCTCAAAAGCTATTCCTGCTATTCTCTCTCAAATACAACCTGAATCGCAAAATTAATAATTCACAACACCAAGGCTGATCAATTTAGCTTAAAGACAGAAAGAAGAAAAAAAGCCATCAAAAGCAAATAAACCTTAATTGTTGGCCTGTGTGCAGCTTTAATGCTGTGTGTGTGTGTGTGTGTGTGTGTGTGTGTGTGTGTGTGTGGTACCTCAGAGCAGTGCTGATGTCTTCCTCCACTGGGCCGCAGTAGGTTACTCAGCGGGGTCGCACAGTTCAATGACAGTCTCCTCACTTTGTCCAAACGTGCTCCCACACACAGATAGTCCTCATTGTGTCCTCATGAAGAAAACAATGCAGTCCTCCTGGGCCCTGACGGTCATGAAGAAGAACAATGGTGGGTCTCCCTGGGGGCCAGAGGTGCAGCCATGCTTTCCTGGTCTGGTGATGCTTACCTACACATACACCATTAGCACCAGACTAGCAGAGACGCTAAGCTACGCAGCTACAAAGTCCGTAGATACGCCGTTAGCACCACACTAGCTAGGATGCTAACTGACAGCTACGCAGCAGCTCAAAGTTGTGTTCAGCTCCCTAAACACTGTCAAACTGTCAAAACACCGATAACAGACTTTTTACAAACGAGTCCAGCGACTTGAATTGAATTCATCTTCATATCTGACTTACTTTCATGGCCGGTGTGTTGACGGGGACGCGCACACGCACACTACTCCCCCAGCTACAGCACTCATCCTCCTTCTCCTACCTCTGTTAGTCCCGCCCCATGACCAATCATATTACTAGAAATTGAAGGACTCTCTGAAAGGACCAATCAGGTGAATTCACCTGCCTGTAGTCTGTCTCACCCTATGGTCTCACCCAAGCGGCAACATCCCGGGCTGAGCGCTGAGGCCAATACGGAAGTGCAAATAACTGCAGTTCACTGGGTGGCCACTTGAGGCTGGCTCCAAGAGGGAGTCAATTCCCATTGACTCCCATGTTAAAAAGCCCGACTTTAGAGCAGAATTAAACGCGTTTACAGCCTGGT